GCTTGTGTCCCAACAAAGATCTGGGGACCCCAAAGGCACCCAGTCGCTAAACAGAAGCCCCACCCCTCAACTTCCATTTGAGAAACTCCCCAAAACACCCTGCAGTACAGCTGCCAGTGTGGACAAAGGTGCTGGGGAAACTACCCAACCAATTACCCAGCATGCTGGGCCTGGGCATGAGTTTTCTGTGTGTATGGGAGAGATTCCTCCTCCTCGTCTTCCTCCTCCTGGTCCTCCTCCTTCTCTTCCTCCTCGCCTTTCTTCTCTTCCTCACCCTCCTTACCCTCTTCCAGGTCCTCCTCCTCCTGCTGCTCCTTTTCCTTCTTCTTTTTCTCCTTCTCCTTCTCCTCCTTCTCACCCTTGTCCTCCTCTTTGCCCTCGTCCTCTTCCTTCTCCTTCTTCTGCTCCTCATCCTCCTCCTCTTTGTCTTCCTGGACCTCCTCCTCTTCCTTCTCTTCCCATTCCTCTTCCTCCTTCAGTTCCTCCTCTCCTTCCTCCTTCTCCTCCTGCTCCACAGCAGACTGTAATCTTTCATTTCTCCCTGATGTGTGTGGATAATCACATCCCAAGCCCTCTCCCTGCAGACTGTGCCTGGACAGACACACAGACCATGTCCACGATGGCCAGCTCAAGTCCCTCAGGACCCAGGAAAGAACTCCTGCTACCTGTACAGAACCTTGGGGCAAAACAGTGCTTGTCACCCAGGTTGGGAGAAGCTGCTGGGGACAGCACAGAGCTATGACATCCCTGCTGGCTGTGATGGGCCCTCGGATGCAGAGGGAAAAGACACATGTGACTCGTGGACCAGAAGGGACTTCTCAGACCCCAGGCTCTCAGCACCACCTGCTCCCAGGTTGCAGGATGATTTTGCTGGTGACTTTGGGGCAGGGCAGTCAGTCTTCCAGCACACCTGAGCCCCTGCAGGAGTGCACAAAAAACACTGCTTGCTATAAACCAACCTGACAATCACAGAACAGAAACACTTTCCCAGGGAGCCCTTGCGGGGGGGGGGGGGTGTCTCAAAACCGTCAATAAAGTGAGCAGTACCAGTGACACTGCTCCCTGTGCTCGTACCTCCTCTGGCTTCACCGTGAGAGCAGGGAAAGATCCGCTGGGGAGTGCGGTTCTGGGGGCAGGAAGGGTCCGGTTGGGAGGCAGGGTTAAGGCCCACGGGAGGTGCCGGGGTCACCAGGGGAGAGGATTGATGGCCGTTGTGACATCTACTCAGATCAGTGAGGCCCGACGCCACCTGACAAGAGGTGGGAAGAGGCAGTGACTGCAACCAGCCAAGTGGGTCCCATCCTGCTGGCCCTTCCAGCCTCTGCGGGAGAAGGGCTCAGTCAGGCCTCACAGAGCAGGGCTGCCGGGGCTGGCACAGCCCACACGGGAGCCCTGCACCCTGCTGGACAGCTGATCGCAAGCAGCCAGGAAGGCACATGATTCCTGACTGAACTCCATCTTGGGGAAAGACCTCCATCTTGGGGAAGGCAACAATCCTAGATTTCATAACTCACACTGAGGGAGTGTGACTCCCATCCTGTATGCTCATGGGTGCCGGCCAGCGGTTTGTATCCGCGCCTGACCCCACTGAGTATGATCCAGTTCCCAGCTCTGCAGTTGACACCGATTGCCATGCCATCTCCGCCCCCATTTCTCCACCTGTAAAATGGGCACACTGGGTGCTGTGATTCGGCCTCCAAGCACTGGCACAAAAAACAGAGACTTCCTTGTGGAAAGAGCTGTCTGTGTTACACAACTTTCTCAGTGGAAATATTGGAGAAGAGTGTGTTGATCTATCAGAGAGTTCACTCAGCGCAACATGCCCTAACCAGCATCTTGTTTTTTTTTTAATTTACCAAAAATAAATAAATTCCCTGAGCTCTCGATGCTGTGCATGGGCTGTCCCCACCAGTGCACCAAGTGGCCCATGGCCTGGTGACACAGCTTCACTGGCACATTCATCAAAGGACAGTCCTGGAGCGGCCCCAGGGCCACCTGGGGGCTGAGCTCACCCCCTGGGGTGCTGGAAGGAAGCCTCAGATCTGGACTCAGGCCCTCTGCCAATGGCTGGTTGGTGGCAAGAAAGGAGCCAGGTGTGGGGACAGCGGGGTCCCTGTGCCTCCCTCTTGGGAATCTCCGCCCTGAGTCTACCACATCGAGGGGCCCGGGCCAGGGGCTGGACAGGCCCAGTACTCAAGAGAGAACTCAGGTTTGAAGGAGGCAGCTACACAGCCTGCCAGGTGGCCTGGGACCTGAGGCAGCCGAAGGCTTCAGAGAAGGGTGGGTTGAGAAAGAGATGCAGTTAGGAAGCGTGAGACAGGGCGTCTGACAAGGATGCTAATGAAGTTGTTGCCGCTAGACATTTCCAATCAAATGTCATTTTTGTTTTGTTTTTTTGTTTTTGTTTTTGAGACAGAGTCGCACTGTGAAGTTCAGACTGGGCTTGTACTCACTTTGTAGCCCATGGCCTTGAACTCATGGAGATCCTCCTGCCTCAGCCTCCCGAGCTCTGGGATTACAGGCATGAGCCACCACGCCCAGCCTAAGTGTGCATTTTCTGAGAGGCTGAAGCAAGTATCATCAGACCATGGGAACTGAACTGTGGGTCACCTTGCACAGCCTGTAACCCAGGGAACTCCTGGGTAGGGAAGAGTCACCAGTACAGAAAGTATTTTCATGGCTCTTGTTTACATGTGAATGTAATTGTGCCAATTAGAGTTTAGCTATAAAAGCTGGGCGTGGGGGCACACACCTGTAATCCCAGCACTCTGAGAAGCTGAGGACAGGAAGATTGCAAGTTCTAAACCCAATCTGGGCAATATGGTGACTTAGTGAGACCCTGCAGCAAAATATTTTTAAATTTTATTTTTAAAAGGGGCTGAGGCCCCCCAAATTCAAAGACCCAATCCAAAAATGGGCAACTGAGATGAATACACACTTCTCAGATAAGGAGATACAAATGGCAAATAAATACATGAGAAAATGTTCAGCATCATTAGTCATTCGAGAAATGCAAATTAAAACAACACTGAGATTCCACCTTACCCCAGTAAGAATGGCTAGCATTAAGAAATCAGACAATAACAAGTGCTGACGAGGCTGTGGAGAAATAGGAACCCTTCTCCACTGCTGGTGGGAATGCAGACTGGTGAAACCACTGTGGAAATCAGTTTGGAGATTCCTCAGACAATTAGGTCTAGAGGTCACATTCAACCCAGCTATCCCCCTGCTGGGTATTTTCCCAAAAGATCTAAAAATATCATATCACAGCGATATATGTGCACCTATGTTCATAGCAGCACAATTTGTAATTGCTAAATTGTGAAAGCAACCTAAATGTCCATCCACCAAGGATTGGATAAGAAAATTGTGGTACTTTTATATAATGGAATATTGCACAGCTATAAAGAAAGATAAACTCAAGGCTTTTATAGGTAAATGGTCACAACTAGAGACCATACTCATAAGTGAAATAAATCAGACCTGCATGTGCAAGCACCACATTGTTTCACTAGTGTAAAACCTGAAAGAGTTAATATAAACTAGGAGGTATGATAGACACTGTGAAATGATAGGAAAACACTCAAGGGTAAAGGGCAATTGGGATGTGGGAAAAGAAGGGAAAGAAGGAGAAATTTTGTATGTATGTGTTTACAGGATAGTTAACATAGTTGTTCTACTGTCTTCTGTTTCTTTGCTGAAAGAAACGTCAGTGAGTCCTTGATTGATCAATATTGCATGTCTCTATCTGTTTTCATGAGAAACCACTTTAAAGATATCAATATGTAATACAACAAGCATTGTTAATTTCCTACCATTTTGTTTGTAACTCTGTATAGTCTGTACTGTTCTTTTGCTATTTTGTAAAAGGTTGTCTGTCTGTCAATGTTTTCCTCCTTTTATTTTTAAAATAAATAAAATAAAATAAAATAAAAGGGGCTGAGGATGTAGCTCAGCCTGAAGGCCCCGGGTTCAATCCCCAGCACTGCAATCATCAGTCAATAAGTTGTGTCCCAGCCATACCCTGAGCTGTGTGGCTGCTGTTCCAGTGGGGCTGGCAATGGAACTCACTGGGCTGGTGCTCCCGGGTCTCTGCTGGATGCATGCACACGAGCAGGGTGGCCCTGCAGTTGAGGGGAGACCAGCTGGTAACCAGAGCAATGAGCACTCTGGCCACGTATTGAAAAGGGCACAGTGCAGGGAGGGGAATCATTGAGGTCTTTAGCGGATTGGTTTGTGTTTGCAGTACTGGAGACTGAACTCGGGCCCTTCACACTGAGCTACGTCCCCAGACCATTTTTATTTTTAATTTTGAAACAAAGTCTTGCAAAGTCTCTAAGTTGCCCAGGCTGGGCTGCAACTCCTATCCTCCTGCCTCAGCCTCCCAGAATGCAGGGAGTACAGATGTGCACCACCATGCCCAGCTAACTGGAGCCATTTTGGCCAGCCGCTTACAAGGATCTTAACCCAAAGCAACCCCTCTCTGCAAATGAGGACAGAATGCGCCCCACATTCTGGCCCAGACTCTGGCCTTGCTCCCCGCCCACGGTGAGGCACTATGCTGGGCCCCTAAAACTCAGCTTTCCCACCCCCAAACCCTAGGAGCTGGTTGGAACCTGCCGGCCTCCTCCTGTGACAGTCGGTGGGTCACAGCTCTGAGCAGGACTCGGGCTCCCCAGAGATTTCAGGGCACCGGGGGAGGAGACTGCAGGTTGCAAGTGCAGCTGCAGATGGCCCAGCACCGGCCTGCCTCCCTGCCCCATGTCCGCATGCTGTGTGCTGCCCAGCATGGGCAGGAGAAAGAATACAGGAAGCAGTACCCATCCCAGGCATGCTCTGAGCATTTGGGGATCCTCTCAGAAGCAAATACTTGGGGTCATGACAGCTAGTTTGATGAGTGGCTGTGCCAGGCCATACCACCCAGATCATCCTAGATGTTTCCATGAAGGCACATTTCCGTGAGATTAGTGTTTCAATCAGTAGACTTTGAACAAAGCAGATTATACCCAAATGGTGGGTGGGCCTTGTCTAATCAGTTGATGTCCTTAAGAGGAAAAACAGACCCCTCTCCCCAGCAAGAAGGAATTCTACCAGTGTTCCATCTTTGGGTTTGAACTGTGACTCAAACTGCAACTCCTCACTGGGTTTTCAGTCTGCTGGCCTCCCAGCAGGTTCCCCAGCCTATGCCTGAAGATAAATCTCTCTACACACAGGTTGTTGGTGCTGTCTCTTCGGGGAACTCTGAACGACCCAGGGATGGAGACATTCCACAGGACAGCGAGGGCACCGACGGACCCAGGAGGCTGAATTAGACAAGAGGCCAGCAATGGTGTCATCTGAGAACTGTGGCATCTGTAGTGTCCTGGGGTAAACGCTGAGGTTTTCAGTGGCTGTGGAGGAAAGAAACAGAAAGTACAAATGAGGAAACAAAGTACAAACAAGGAGGGCAAGAAAAGATTCCATCTTCACTGTCCAGCCCCGCATAGATAAAGAAAGCTGAGCTATGCAACTGTATTTCCACCCACAGCCCGGCTGACCTTGCCAACTCCTGGCGTCGCTTTTGTTCCCAGCGCTTGTGTTTGTGCCTTTGTATCCGGACGGTGCAGTGGTGGGACGGTGCGGTGGGATTCGTCAGGCTGGTCTCACCAGGCTTCTACTTTAAGTCGGTTATTCTACCAAGATGCACACGCTAAAAAGTCCGAAGATGGTCAGCACCTGCAGGAGGCCACCACGGGGCCCAGTCCTGAGGCGTTCTGTTGGCCACTGAGTCCCTCCGGAGAGAGCCTGGCACTCCCAGGGTCCAGAGCCTCACAGCAGCCCTGCGGGGCAAAGGAGCGGCTGCTGCCAGGCAGCTCTTCAGGAGCAGAGCGCGGACCTGCACTGTGAGCGCTAAACCGGAGTCTTTTCTTTTTCTGGTCCACACTGCCACCTGCTGGCCACAGTTGTCCGCCCTCCTGGAGCCGAGGCTGTTTCTTCCTCCTAAAATCCCGGTCTGATGCTTTTCTTCCCTTCACGCATGCCGTTACCTGCAGAAACGCTCTTGCTAAGCCAAGTGGTGGAACGCAAGCTCCTCCTGGTGACTTGTGGCCATGAAGAGGAAATGACAGCCAAGAAGCTAAAAGTGATGGGTAACTCTGTGCGCGACAAGTCTCATTGTGATAATTAGTGCCTCTGCTCCTAGTGGTTTGATTGCCCAGTAATTATGGTTTAAGCTGAGCAGGTAATTGTGACAGGTGTGTGTTTGTTTGTGGAGGGGGCCAATGAGGCAGGGGGTGAAGTCTCCCCTTGTCCTTCTGCAGGGGCGCCTCAGTCATTAAGTTTATATATGCAAATAAATGTTTAACAGGGTAATGTCTCCAGATGACAGGCAACAGGTCCAGGAGGAGCAGCGATGTGTCACAAGCAGGGGCAGCTTCAGGGACACCCATCCATGCAGGTGGTCAGGAGGCAGTCAGTGCAGCGGAAGAGCCATTTCAGGGTTTCCAGAACCCGCTAGCCCATTAGCTGTCACACACAGGCACCTACACAGTGCATCACAGGATGGCCGTCCGCGTCTTCCCCTCTTAGCCTTGATTCTACTCTTTGTCACCAGCCTTTTATAAATCTAGGATGGGAATATAAAGGCGGTTGAGGGGCTGGAAGAGGAGAGAAAAGGGAAAGAAGAAAAGAACGTATGCGGTTCGAGGGCACCCATGCCAACCCTCACCTCTGAGGGAAACATCCTAATGACATAGCTCGGTGACATTGGGAGACACAGCACAGACTGTGGGATTCTGATTTATCCCGCCAGGGCACGCAAAATGCACAGGAAGTTTCAGTGGATAGGCAGCTTCTGGGATTCTCCTGGGGACAAACAGCATGCTTAAAACAAAGCATGAGCAGGGGGGTTCAGGGCTGGGTTGTGACCCGTCAAAGATTTTAAGGGGACAATGCACGGGCCCTTGTTTTGGCTGCTGGAACTCTCCTGCCTGCTGATGGGACTGCTAAAGGACCTCGGCCCCTGGGCCCGGCTGATAGAGCCTGGAGCTCCGCACACTCTGTCAAAGGCCACCACCACCTGCTCCAAAAATCCGCACCCGGCCAGAGCCTGGCTTGGTGGCACAGTGGTCCCAGCTACTCCGGAGAATGAGGTGGGAGGGCACCCTGAGCGCGAAAGTTCCACGTCAGCCTGGGCCACACAGCAAGACCCCATCTCCAAAAAACTTGGCCATATCAGGCCTGTGGCCCAAGACTCACTGCAGCAGGACGACAGGGACAGGAGCTGGTGACAGGCTCCAGGATGCGGCTGGCTGGACTCTGACACTGGACTGGTCATGTGCACCGGGCAGCTAAGACAAGCACAACACCCTCCACTCTTTGAAGGTGCCCCTTAAATGTGCAGAGGCCTCAGAGCCCCTCTCAAAATTTCCCATGCTCAGAGGACAGAAGGAATTAATGGCCGTGAGAAAGAAAGAAGCGGCAGGCACACCCTGAACGCATATACAGAAATATCACAGACCTGACCGGTGTGCACATTCGTACATGCTGAGAATTTGGCTAATTTTTTAAAAGGCAGCCGTGCAATGATGCCCCATCTCCCAAGGACTAGTGCACCTTTCTCCCCTGTCACTGCCACTGTTAGCAGAGCGGCCTCTTGCTCTCTGAGCAGGGCAACCCCTCCCCGCCACCACACTGCACCTGTCCATCAGCATCGCCTGGGCTGCGAGGCCCCAGGGCCCCTTGCTCTGCTGGCCAGCTCTCAGGCCGGTTTCAGGCTGGTGTCCCCGGCCCTCACACCTGGACACTGACCCTGCAAGTCAGAGCTCTGACAAAGGGCTCTGGATCATCCCACCATTTTTAAACTCCTAGGGAAACAGAGTGAGCCCACTGTCCAGGGATGCTCTTTGCAAACCTAGCTGTCCAGCTGGGATAGCCGGAAGGGTCTTCAAAGCTTCCAGGGGCTGGATTTGCAGTGTTAGGCAGGGTGGACATATCTTGATGCTCAAACCAAGAAGGTCGCAGACAACGCTGAGCAAACCAGGCCAAGTTGGTCCCTGAGCTGGAGCCCAGCCGGAGACCCTGTGGTGTCGGAACAGGGCTTCTGGAACCCACGTTCTCTCTGGAGCATTCTCGCAGGGAGCAAGTGTGAGCCCCGCAGCCCAGGGCAGGGACCATCAATCTCCCTTTCCTCCTGAGGACCCCAGGGGACTGATCAGTCACCTGTGACTCAGCAGGTCGCATTCTGGGGCTGCTGCTGTTGGCGCCGGGACCACACCTGGCACCTGGTTCCGAGCGTCAGCTCCAGTACCTCCTGACAAATGAGTGCAACAACTGCAGACTTGCTGGGCGTCTGCTGTACCCCCAGGAGATATTTAGATCATCTTTCATTTGAAATCATTGAGATGGAATTCACGCTCCTTTCCACCCTGGCTGCATCAAGGGTCTTTATCTGCCACAACAGCAAAGCCAGGAGACAGCCACTGCCAGCCTGACCCAACCGTCACCTGCTGAGAGTAAGCTGTCACTCAGGCCATCGTGGGCTCTGTCCCCCACCTTGTCCACACCCTAGCTGGCCTCCTCCTTTGGCCCTTTCCTGTGCTGCCCAGCATTCTGGTGTCCAGGGCCTCTGCCAAGGCTCCTCTGCCCTGCCCTTAGGCCGCTGTCCTGTCCTCTCTGCCCCTACACACTGGGCTCCACTGGAACTGGCTAACCCTCCCTGCCCATCCTCCCTGGGTGCTGTCCCCAAGAATCCCCACACCCCATTCCAGGTGCCCCCGTCCTCAGTAGGGCCCTGGGCTGAACGGCAGGTGTCACCTGGCCACGCTGTTCACGGCAGGGGCCTGGGAAGCGCGTACGCACCGCAAAGGATTCTGGGTAGCCTCGGGACTTAGACAAAGCACAGTGATTTTTCTGAGCATAGCTCATAGGCTTCCTCCAGATGTGGCTTGCGCTGATAAGGTGCAGAACTTTGAAAACTGATTTTTAAGAAAATGTAGAGCAGCTCCCCTTGATCGGTGGGGATATCTTCCAGAATCCCTAGTGGGCATCTGAAACACAGAGCCTGTCATTTAACGCCATTGCACTTAACAAACACGCAGTACCCAGGGTGGGGGTGACTTTTACAGCAGCACTTCTTTTGCCACAATTTCACAAAGAGATTTGTTCTCACTGTAGATCTCAGCACCCTTGGCTAGTTTCTTTTCTTTCTTTCCTTCTTCCTTCTTTATTAAGTCAAGAATCTTCACCTTTCAGAAGTGATTCCTGACATCTCTTTGGCCTATCGCAGCACCGGCACCCCTGCTGCGGGTCAGGGTCATTACTCAGTCAAGTGAGGGCTCCTGAGACAGAGGGTCCGGTGTCAAGTGACTCCCAGGCAGCGGGTGTAGACTGTGGATACGCTGGCCTGGGGACGGTTCAGGTCCTTGGAGGGACCGAGCAGGATGGCTGCGGACTCCACCACCCTGCTCAGAGCGGCCCCTTGCTGCTTACAACTTCTGAATCCTGTGTCTTCAGCCAGGGAATTGAAAGCTGCAGACCAGAGGGCTGTGTAAAGTGACCAGGCCAGGTGGACTGGCGACCTGACTCTCTCCTGACTCATTACTGCTATTTCCTGAGTGCTACTTCTGAGTCCTGTGCCCATCAGTTTGTATGCTGTGGGGTGACCAGCTGCTGCAGGCTGCTCTGAGCCTCCCATGGATGGAAAGGCCACCCAGGGCCAGCTCCATGTCCTCGGGATGCCAGCGGGGGGACGGGGCAGGCTGGGGGGTTCAGCCACTGTGATGGACAGTGTGACATTTCTGCAGATATTCCTTCCACTCACCCACCCACCCAGGTCACCCTGGAGCCGCCTTGCATGGGTCATGGCCTGCCTCAGTGGTCTGAGTTAACAATTATTCCACGTTGAAGGTGCTGCAGTTACTCAAACTTTGTCTTCCTCCAAGGGAGATAACAGTACATAACATTAACCAAAGCAGCCATTTGTAAGGTGTTTGGCATAGGCTGACTTCCAGCCGTGTGGGCTGTAAGAGAGAAGGACAGTACATAAGATGCTCAGAGTCTCCCTGGCCACCTCCTGGGACACTCTCCCCAGGTTCCCACCAAACCACAGCTGCCCCGGTGGGCAGCAGCCTTTCTCTCCCTGCGTCTCTGTCCCCAGGAGCTCCCGAGATCCCAGCAGGCCAAGGGCACGGGCCACGCGGTCACAGCTGCCTCCTGCCGTCCCCTCCATCTCCTTTGTGGCATCATCCATTTTCCTGCCTCGGTGTCAGTGTCTTGACGTGGCCGCCCTGGGGCCAAGCTCCCCAGCTCTGTATCTGGGGATGCAGCAAACACAGGAGGCAGAGTGTTGGGAGACAAAGCAGGGATGTTCAAGTGAGGGACGGTCACAAAGCCAAGTCCTGTGGCACTGGGAAGCAGGTAGAGTGCTCTCCCAGGCTGACCCTGCAGGGCCGGAGCCAGGTGTTGATGGCCTGGCGTTTGCGCCTTGGGGCCTGCAGGAGAGGTCTGGGACAGTCACCCCACAGGACAAGGCAGTCACCCTGCAGGACAAGGCCAGGGCCCAGCGTGTCCACTGCATCTTGCCTCTGGCCCTCAGTCCTGAAGTCCAGTTGAGCCTTCTGTGGCTGCTGGTCACTGGGGCTGGTAGAAGAGGGCAGGCAGCCTGAGCACGGCCTCCCTCTTTCACTCCCAGCCACTACCCACACCCCCGAGTCAGGAGGTGATCTCTCCTCTCCGCGGGCCAAATTGAAGCTCCAACCCTTGCAGCAGCCCACAGCTCCCTAGAAAGAACCCTTTGCCACCGGATTTAAAAAGCAACTGGTCCCTGCCAGTCGTTCCAGCTTTGGGGGCGAGCCTGGAAGGGGTGACCAAGCTCCCTAGGAAAAGACGTCACACAGGATGGCATTGCACACAGGCCAGGTCACCCCATCACGGTCGGGATGGTGGAGAAGGACTGACTCACCTCTGCCAGGGTGATCAGAGGGGCTCCCTTCCGCCACCTGGGGACGACCCCCGCTTCCTGCACACAGTGCAGTGATAGCACTTTTAAAAGATACAGTGAGTCAGTTGGGCGTGGCGATGCACACTTGTCATGCCAGAACTCAGGAGACTGAGGCAGGAGGATCAGCAGGAGTTTGAGGCCAGCCTGAGCTACATAGCAAGATCCTGTCTCAAAAATCCAATGATCATCACCATTCACCATCTTACTTTCCACCCCGTGGCATCCTGGATCACAGGCGGAGCCCTAGCAAGAGCGAGGGCCCCTTCTATCCTCAGTGGGATCTGACCTCCACCCCGGCACAGCAGCTCCTGGCCTCCCCCACTGTCCCCGATGCTCCTGAGGTAACCCTGGCCCCTGGGCGTCCCATGAGAGTCCGGTCGCTCCTGTAGGCTCTGGGGGAAAAGTCCCTGTCCCCAGGTAAAAGAACCAAATCCTGGGACACGCCTTCCTGCCTTGTCGGCGACACATAATTCTACACTCTGTCCAGCAGAGGGCGCCAGAGAGGAGCCGGCCGCGCCCCTGGCCCGTGTGCAAGCCGCGGGCTGCACTGCCTTTCCTGCTCAGCTCTTCCGGGATCCACCCGGACACAGCCTCCTCCACGCGGACGGAGCGGGGAACAGGCCCTGCAACAGCTGCTGCTCAGAAACAGCCAGGCATGGCAGCACCTGCCTGTAATCCCAGTACTCTAGGAGGCTGAGACAGGAGGGTCACAAGATCAAGCCCAAGCTGGGCAATTTAGTGACTTAGTGAGACCCTGCCTCAAAATTAAAAAAATAAAAATAAAAAGGACTTAGCACAAAGACACTGGGTTCAGTCCCCTGGACCACACACACACACACACACACACACACACACACAGAAAGGGAGGTTATAGTATTCCTGTTTCTAATATAAAAATGACTATTTTTAAATAGAAAGAAGTTGTGTTGACTAGTATTAGGGAAGATAACAAAATGGAAAAATCTATAAAATTTTAAAGGCCATATTACAAAGACATCACTAGAAGTTTGATTGCCTGAAGTCACACCCGTTTCACAATCTAACCTTACCTTTGTCTTTGAAGGATTTTTAATAACAAACTGAATTGCTTTTTCTTTTTCTTTCAGGTTTCTTGGGAAATAAAGGACTGATGCCTCAGCCGCCAGGCGGCTCCAGAGACCCAGGACCGATGGGGAGGCGGACAGATGGAGGGGCCCGAGCTCCGGACAGCTCTGCGGGCTTGGCCCGCGCCAGGCAGCTGGGTGGAACCCGCGGCAGGGTCCTGAGACGCAGGGCGCGAGCGGTGTGCCGGGCAGGAGGTAACGACAAGGACAAATTCCTTCCTGCCCTGTGCTGTCTGCGCCCTCAGCAACCTTGCTGTCGCCCACCACGGAGGCAAGGACCGTCCGCTTCCCTGTCACTGGCTTTCATGCTGACCTCTCCAGAGCGTCCAGGAGATCTTTCCCTCTCAGGCCTCGAGTCCTACACTACATCCCCAGCCTAGAAAAGCGAAGATCACAGACCGGGCAGGCGCCTGACCATCCGTGTCCCTGAAGAGCTCTGTCCCAGGACGCGGAGGGTTGACTTGCTTTCCGGGAGCAGGGTGCACACTCCACCTCTTTGCTGCGCCCGGCTGACCGCGGCCTCCAGCTCCCAAGCACACGGTGACAGTCACCAAGGGGCCTCAAGCTGCCGGGTGAAAACTCGCTCCTACGCGCTGAGCACCTACTCCTGCGCGGGGCAGGTTGAGAAAATGGGCCTGGACATCCAAAGTGCCACGAGTTCCTTGTGCGCTGGAAACACACACACACAGGTAGGGGTCGCTGTACACAGGTAGGGGTCGCTGTTCCTTCCCCGGGCAAAGGGAGCTGCTCCTAACAGGAGATCAAGAGCTGGCACCCACGAACGCGCGGGTTCTCTCTTTGCGTCCTTCGGGCTTTGAGCCTTTCCATCCCACTTGTTTGCTGGCATGAACCATTAAAAAGCTTGTAAACCGTTTTTAAGAGTTAAGGCAGTTTTTATTCCCTCCATTCCCAAATCTTTTTATTTATTTATATTTTCTCAGTACAAGACTGAACCCAGAACCCCCATGCTGAGCTACTGCCCCAGCTCTTTTTAGATTTTTTTTTAATTTTTGGGACAGGGTCTAAGTCACTACGTTGCCCAGGCTAGGCTAGAACTTGCCGTCTTCCTGCCTCAGCTTTCCTGAGTGCTGGGGTTACAGGCCTGGACCACTGCACTTCTCAAATCTTATAAGGTATAGCTCATTCCTTTCTAGATAAGACTCTGTGGCTTAAACATATTAGGGCTTTATTCTCTCATGGAAAAGAAGTCAAGAAGTCATGTCTCTGCGGCCACTCTGGCAGCTTCAAGGACTCAGACTGCATCTGTCTGTCTTCTTCTCTGTCCTCATGGTCACAAGGTGGCTGCAGGAGCTCCAGAGAGGTTGTCCATACTCTAGATCTGACTCAGAGAAAGGAAGGCACAAAGAGTAACAGGTCCCATCCCTCCAGGGGAGTCAGCCTTCCTAAAAGAGAGTATGATAAAAGCCCTAGCAACTCCCTCAGACATGTCACAGGCCATGCCTGGCTGCAAGAGAAGCTGTCAAACATCATCTTCTAAGCAGGCATCTGCTTCTTGGAACAAACTCAGTGTTCCAGGACAGAAAGGAAGTGCAGCTGTACTTCATTGCTAGGTCTGTGGGTCTGGCCCCAGCCTTCCAGCCCAAGGAGTGTGGGGACTCCTGGAGGATTCTGGGAAGCAAGGCAAAGGGATGTGGGCAAGAGGGTGAAGATGGAGGAGGTGCTGGAGAGCCAGGAGGGTGTGAGCAGTGGGGTCGCTGGGAAACAGGCAGCGGGGCATAGCTTTAGCTAGCACTGTCCCTGAGGCGTGGAAGAGTAACGGACGCTTTGTGGAGATAAACAGTGACGTCGGCAGTGCGTCATCAGCACTGCGTCATCAGAGGTGCGTCATCAGCAGTTTCATGTCATTATTTTTCCAGATGCTGCACAATATCTCAGTAAGAGAGAAATTATCTTCCTGTAAAGCTATCCTGAAGTACTTTGAGCTTTGCATCACTGTGACACTAATGTAGCATTTTAAAACTGAGTATTTTAGACTCTCTTACCTTCAAGCCATGTGCAACTGACTTTGGAGATGTTGTCGTCCCTCCTACGTTAGCGCTGAGTCACTTCTCAGTGGTCAAACATCAGGATTTGGAACACCTGGGTTTCAGAGATATTTTATCAGTTGCTGCAGACACTGGGGCAGAGCATTTAACACAGGGCCCGAGCAGTCGCAGAGCTGCTTTGGCTGCCCACATCGTGGATGTGCAGACCTGCAGGGTTTATGGTTGAGCTGCAGGAGTTTCCTTTTATAAAGAGACACAGAAGTGGTGTGATCTAGTTTATAGTCACCAGCAGTCAACGTCAAAAGGCTGGCGCTGTCGCGAGAGACGGCGTGGCAGGGTCAGCGCCCAGGCCGTGAAGCCCTTGGGGGACTCTGGGGACCGAGCCATCAGGACAAGCCCCTCTTCGTTGGCTTGTGGAGAAGAATCGAAATTCAGTCTGCCCCGAGATGCTACCTGCCCACCCCTGACCTTGGTGGGACTTAGACACCTTAAATTCTGCCAAGAGAAATTATAGCTTCACTTTCAAGCAAACTCTCCTGTGAAAAAATGTGATTCCACTTCTAAAAGGCAGATGCTGGAAACAGGTGTCAATGCAGACAGCACTCCTTCCCTTCCTTTCCTACAAGGATTCTGTTCCTAAACAGAATTCCCCTCTGGAGGGCTGCATGGCTCTCGGAGACAGGAAACTGTCCAAGAGCCCTGTGATTCGTGTGACGCTCCAGGCTCAACGGGGTTGAGGTCAGATACAAGAAATAGAAAGGTAGCACGGAGACAAGGAAATCCTAACTAAATTTTTAAGAAGACTGCAACTTCCAGAACCCAGTGGAAGTGACCCCAGGTGACCCACATCTGCCTCCCTGGGTTCCACTGAGGCTCCTTTCCTTCCAGGCCTCTCCCACCCAAACTTCCTCAGGAATGCTGAACTGTATAAATAGAGAATGTCAAGAGCAGGACCCTGATCCTAAGACACACGAACAGGTTGAGAGGGTACTATGAATGTTTGAATGCATAATTACCTATTGAAAAATCAAACTGGACTCACACCCATAAAATGCGTCAGTGCCCTTCCAGAGTGGTCCACCCTTTCCCAGGGTTTCCACCACCCCGAGAGAAGCAGAAATGATCCCCATTCTAGAAAATAAGTGACTGTCTCAAGGGCCTGCACTGTTTGAGTATGTACTTAAATTTCCGCCTAATAAAGCCTTCCCCGCATGTCTTATTGACTGACCCTGAGAACTCTTTCTCCCTGATACGATCCAGTGAGCCTGCAATCTTACCCTATGGGTAGGTGGATTAGGTTCCTTACCTCAGCCTTGGGATGCTCCTTGGAGCCTGTCCATGCCCCTTGATTTTCTCTGTCACTTGCTGTGCCAGGCTCCTGGGACTCTATGGGGCAGGGAGAAGGTTGTCCCTTTATTCTGTCTCACGGTAAGATTTTTTTTTTTTGTCTTTTTGAGACAGGGTTTTGCTATGCAGTTCAGGCTGACCTTGAGCTCACTTTGTAGCCCAGGCTGGCCTCGAACTCACAAAGATCCTCCTGCCTCAGCCTCCTGAGTGCTGGGATTACAGGAATGCTCCACCACACCCAGCCTAACGCAGTAAGATTTGACTTGTCAAAGAGGACAAGTGCTTGCTGTCATAGCAACCATCTCTGACACCAGAGCCCACACCAGTGATGCTTTGGTGACATCTGGTTGTGGTAAATATCCCTGCTACTGGGCTCATCCCTTCTGTGATACACTTGTTACATGGTGTTTGTTTGTAGGGTGTACTGGGGATGAACCCAGGGCCTTCACATTTTGAGACAGGGTCTCACTAAGTCACTAAATTGCCCAGATTGGACTAGAACTTACCACCCTCCTGCCTCAGCCTCCCAGAATGCTGAGATTGCAGGTCTACACAGTATTCCCAGCTTGTAAAGCATTCTTAACAGACATCACCTCCTCTGCCCAAGTTATAACCAGTAGCTTCTCCTGGCCACATGTAAAGGAGAAACTTTGCAGTGTAGGGAAGTGTCCCGCTCATGACGGTCAATGGTTTTCATTCACTCTGTGGGGAAGCAGCTTAGTTTTGAGGTAGGATAGCAAAAACAGACAGGGAAAGAGAAGACAAGGAAAACCGGAGTTTTAAAACTGTAACTTTTAAGAAAAACCGCAGCTTCAGGACACAAGAGTCACTCAAGTTCTTTTCACTTCAGCGAACCTGCAATTTACTTCCAGGCTGTGGTGGACTGAGACCCGCTTCAGCCCCTCGGAAACTCCCAGTGTCACCCGCAGGCCCAGAGGGTGCCAAGCTGAGGTCAGGAAGCCTCCCCATCGCGCCTGGAAGACACTGTGCAGTTCGCTGCTCCTGCTGCAGAGAAGGAGTTTCCAAGACCGGTCAGCAAGAGGCTCAGGAAGGGGTTCTTCGGCAGAAACTGAAAAGTCCACATGCCAAGAAATAGAGTGCTGGCCCCTAAGGGAGCACAGTGAGTTCATTTTTGGAATGCGAAATGTTTATGCTTCTCTTGAGGGGGTGGGAAGCCGGGAAAATGCAGCCCCCCACCAGGAGGACACTGATCCATCTTACAGGCTTGGGTCCAGTCCTTTTTTATTTTAGGTACGTAATGTAAACATTCTTTGGATTCTTGCACCCTATCCTTTACCTTAGGTCAGGCTCCTACTCTTTACTTCCTTAAGTAAGCCAGGTTATAGAGCGGAACATTCTGGAGGAATTTCAGGTGGGAGGGATCTGGAAGGAAAGGAGCCTCAGTGGACCCCAGGGAGGCTGATGTGGGTCACCTGGGGCCGCTCGGACCCTACCAGGTCCCGGAAGTTGCAGCCTTTTTAAAAGTACACTTTTAGTTGTGATTTCCTGTCTCTTTCCTGCCTGTCTTTAGCTTCTTCTGTCCTACCTTGCTAGGACCCTGTCTGGCCAAAGCTTAGGTTGGGCGCTAGGACCTCTTGTCCACTTGCCCACTGCCAATATTAAATGTTTCTCTTTGACAGTGAGTTTCTGACCAAATGTCTGTTTCTGATCCGTGAACTGCTGCAAATTGTAAATCCTGAAATCGTGGATCCGGATTGATGCTGTGCTGAAGGGCCTCTCCCAGCCACGCACGGGGACCACCTCGTGTCCTACACAGCGGTGCCAGGGGAGGGGACCCGGTGAGAGTGACTGGTGTTCCCCCAGACACAACTTGTAAGGACAAAGCATGCGCTGTTGGGAGCAGAGCGCTGGCTCTGCCTCATTTCCGGTCACATTCCCACCAGAGTCCTGTGTGCAGGGCGTCTACTGCCTCAGAGCAGGGCCCTTCAGCTTTCCTGCAGTCTCTGCGATCCTCCAAACAGCTCCCTCCCACCATAGCAGCACAACCTGATAAAGATTGGGGTGCTCACTGTGTTAAGGTAGCCCCCAAACAAGTCCCTAAATCCTCTCCTTTCCACCAGATGGCTGCCCCTAAACCCTGCCTCTGTGGAATTCGGACCGATGTCTGCGTGGAGGATTATGTTTATCCCAAGCTGAAGGCGGCTTCTCTCTACATCACTGCAAAGCTGGCAGATAAACCTGCCCGGGGACCAGGTCCCGCCAGACATCTGGGCAGCAGTGCGTCTCCTGTCTTTGGAAGCCCAGACTCAGCCAGCCTTTAGAAGCTTTGTGGTGGCCGGTGGCCATGGAGGAGGCCTGTAACCCCAGTGCTCCCAGAGGCTGAGGCAGGAGGTTTGCAAATTAGAGCCCACTGTGGGAATTTAGCAATTAGCAAGACCCTGTCTCAGAATAAAATTTTAAAAGCAGCCATGGATGTAGCTCAGTGTGAAGGACGTGGGTTCAGTCCGCAGTACAAGAAAGCAAGCTGAGCTGTGGTCCCCAGCACAGGTGAGGAGCGCCTGGCCACCCTGCTCAGATGGCCTGCGAGAGGGGAGCCAAACCTGAGGGCACAGTGATCGCAGTCTCTCGTTGCCCCTCGGCCCCCCAGTCCCTGCCGGTCCACCTTGGTCACCCCTTGACTGCTCACCTTTCCCTTCTCTCTGCCCAATGCCTCAGGGCAGCCAGGAAGGGGCAGGCACATAATGTCCTGACCTGGGCTCCAGGGAGGACCGGGCTAAGATGGGTCTGAGAAAGCCAGTGGCCCTGAACTGGCAACAGACTCGGGAAGCTGATACACCTGAAGGGCTTGGATGTCCCACTCTGTCCAGTGGCTTCAGGACAGAGACCTTGCAGGTGCCCCGGATATCCCCAGTGTCCTGACCTCAGCAAGCGCAGAGATGGAGCACAGGACCCCTTGGGCGGACTCGTAGGGCCAGGTGGTTTTCAGAATCGGAACTGAACTGGATATAATACCACCTCTGGCGGAGTCAGGCTGCACTCTAATCATAGAGAGTAAACTGAGGCATCAAGCATGGAACATGAGTTTGTCCCAAGCCCATGGCATCTTTTGACTCTCAGAATACTTAGGGCTTCAGAAAAAGGACTGGGGACGACAGGACGTTCATCCAGCGAATGAGGACACTTCCAGGCTCTGTCATGGCTAACTCTGGACTCTGAAGGACTCATGGAGGTGGAAGTCCATGACACACGATGCGGTGTTTGCAGGATTCTGCTCTTCTCTAAGTGCTTCCTTGCACCCTGGTCACTTTGGCCCCACTGATAAATCCTGAAAGGTAGGAGCTGTGTTTCAGCCTAGATGTTGCATTGGGCCAGGCTCTCTCTCTCTTCCTGGGGGAAAACAGCCCACACTGGTATGTGAAGAGCTGACCTGGCTTTCCTTCCTCAAAAACGCAAGAGTAGCCGCTGCTTTGGGCCCAGCTGGATCCAGGGGCTTGGCAAATCGCTCAGGAATCTCTATCATTGATCTTCTACATCTTTTTCTCATCTTTTTCCTTCTTTGCTTGTGCCACTTGTAGCCTAACTTTCTCTACATGGAAACTCAAGGCCAATAAGAGTCCATGGAGCCAGTGCCAGGGAGAGACCGCTTCCCTGTTCTGCCACTTCAAAACCCCATCAGCTGCTCTTGTTGGCCAGAGTGGTGAGGACGGAACTCCATGGCCAAGGGCATGTGCTGGCTCCTCGGCCAGCGCTGAGCTCCCATTCCCCACCAGAGCAAGTGCTTTCAGA